CCCCCCCCCCAGGCTGTCAGTTTGAGGGCATAGGAGAAACAGTACCATTCTTCCTGTTAATGAACTCTTTTTTAAGTCATTTTTTCTCATTTGACCCTTCCATGGAGCAGAAGCAAATTGCGTGAAATTACCTCCAAGGATTACATTTATTACTGGCCAATGAGAACCCCTCGCCTTGTTTTACAAACTCTTAATCCTATGTCACTCTGATGCCGCAAACAAGCCAGGGCCTGGGCCTCCTATTCTTTCAACTTTCCCCAGCTGGAGGGACCTCATTCTGCACTTAATATTCCCCATAAATATCACACGCTAAAGACCCCCTGACTTCCAGCAAGTCCACATTAAACATGTGACATGTCACGCATGACAAACTCTGAGTATCTTTTCAAAGCAGCATTAAAAGCAAAGAAACCAATTTTCTTCTCTTTCCAAACCTCCCCAAGTGCTGAATGATGGGATTGGAAAGAGCCACTGGAGCGTACTTAGGGGGATTTTATGAGATTTTCCAGAATGATTTAATCTTATTGTGAGCATTATTAATGAATGGCAACCCAATTTGGCCCCAATATCTGGGAACTCAGTCACAATAGTGGGACCGGCTGACAATGCCCCCCTCCTCAATCTTAAGCAAACCTCTTCCACCACTGAGGAGGACATATGGGGGCCCAGGGAGTTCAGGAGAGTCAAATTCATGGCAGGACTGTCTCCTATCACATTCAGAACCTAACAGCCCAACACCTGTTTTCCCAAGGTCTTTATGAGGTGAGGGGTGATCAAGAGACCCTTATGGGTTCCTGGAGGGAAGTTGGAGGGGAAGGGGAAGTTGATTTGTTACATTTTCAGACCCCTTAGCCAGATCAGGAGACCCAAAAGGCAAGAAGAGAGCACCTGGCACACTATTAGAATGTTCCGTCAGTCTACCCATGGACTGGACTCTAGGCAGGAGTGAGGGCAGACATGTTAACTCTGTGTTCACTAGGGTGGCAAAAGGGTCAATTTGGGAGAATGACTGTGGGAGAGAATCTCAATATTAGGATCAAATTACTAGTATTGGCCCCCATCATTTTCCTGTTTTTCTCATACTTTCCCCACCCATTTGGGACAATCATTTGTTATTGTTAGTTTTTAATTTATAGTATCAATACTCAAAGCACCAGAAGGTCTGCTTAGCATGATTTGGAGTGCAGATATTTCTAAGATGGAAAAGGGACTGATGTTGCAGAGGAAATTAGACATGGGCTAGCCCAACTTGCTTTTAGAAGAAAAAATGTGTATGTGAGCATGTGTATGTGTATACACAAAAGCGAATGTGTCTCAATGAAGGAGGTCTTAAATGGAGCCTAAAATGGTATTTTGGAACACAGAGTTCCCCAGAGCAACTGCATATTTAAATGACAAGTGGTAGCCTGGCTGGGGGAGAAGAAAACCCCACTACCTGAAGAGGAAAAAACATTTTTCAAAAGAAAAAGTCATGTTGTCCCTGGACGTTATTAATGGTCCAGTTTGAAGTATACATTTTTTCCTTTAAAGAAAAGGGGGCGATTACCAGTTATATATACATTAAGAAATGTCATTCAGTCATTTTTATTCATTCTCCGGAAATCTTCGTAAAAGCCTGAATCATACTTGTACAAGCAGCAATTTTGTTAATCCAGGGGGTTATTACTCTGGGCCCTTATTAGGTTCTACACCACTGCCAAGCAATCCTATAACCCTCTCAAAAGAAGTTTACCTCCCTGTTATAAAACCAGTAGTGGTATTTATACTGTGCAATAATTAGTGTATTACTTGAATCCACTAACACGTTCATTTTATCTCTGCACAAAACCTCTAGTCTGCTTATAGAAAGCTTGTGCCTCCTTTGGTGCTGTTAAAGTGGTGAAAGAGTGAATTGAAGGCTGGTTGCACTTTCTCCTTTTGCCTCGCCTTAATTCCCATCTCTTTTTGCTCTCATCCAATTAGCACAGTGTATTAAGCGGTTTATCATCTCATAGTCAGCTATTGAGAGAAACAAGGCGAGCACTTTGCAATAGAACCTGCGCTCCTTTGACACCCTCAGGTACTTACATATTCCACTGCGCTATGAATAATAGAGGAAGAATGGAGCGCTAATTCCCTCATCAAAGAATGCCTTGTCTGCTGCTTTGCTCAACAACACCATTCTGATCAAAAGAAAAGCAATAAAGCTTAGCATAACAAAACGAAACCTACTTATTAGCTTAGTGGTTAAATTAATGCAGAGCCGCTGCTATTCAAAACCAAGGTTTGAAAACAGCCTCCAACAACCTGATAATGCTGCCTTCGGGATGAAGGAATTTTAATCTGAAATTTGAGGCTGGCTCAGATGAGTTAATCTATTAAACTGCTATAAGGAAGCTCTGCCACAAACTGTTCAATTAAGAAATATTTAGGTGAGGAGAAAGAGGAGAGAGGACAGAGGTGGGAGGAGAGGGAGAAGGGAGGAAGGGGGGGAAGAATAGAGAAAGAGAGAGGTAGATAGATGGATTTAAGTTTTGATCAGGAGCATTGAGTACCATTGAAGTGAGGGGTCCAGGTTCCTGAAAAGAGATCTGAAGCTTGATGCTTTTCACAAAACCCGGACACAGATGGAAATCTGTTTTTAGAGTTTCCTTCTCTTTGTGTCTTCTGCCAAACTCCCATTAAGCGCTATGTTTGAAAGTATCTCAGGGTGTTCACTGGTCGCAAGGGCTGGAAAAGTGGGGTAGTGGTAAAAGGCAACAGACTCATTCTCTTTCCTCATCCTGAACCCCAATCCGTAAACACTGATCAGCTGTCTGCCCCTCCCCCCAGCCTGGACAACTGGCACATAATTGATATTATCCATATTTTATTTGACAAATTAGAGTATTTTTGAGCATTCTCTGTGGATTTTCAACTTCTGGCCTTCCCTATAACCTTTGTATGTAGGACAGTTGAAAGATAGCAAGCTGGGTCCCTGGGAAGCTTGTATAAGGATCCGCAGCAGCAGCAGCAGGTCCAATCTAAATTAAACTAGTTCCTAAACTAAAAAGTGCTATATTCTTAGGTATGAGGTCCAGAGCAGAGCAGGACCCTTTAGGGAACCATTTCCCAGCTAATTCCAGTAGGTTTAGTTCAGAGGGTTAACAGTCTTTAAAAACAATAATAAACAAAACAACAGGGCTGGAGAGATGGCTCATCGGTTAAGAACACTGTTCTAGAAGATCTGGGTTCAATTTTCAGCACCCACATGGCAGCTCACTGCTGTCAGTAACTCCAGTTCCTGGTCACCTAACACCCTCATGCAGGCAAAACAGTAATGCACACA